AATTTTGTAATCATATTGCGGAACACTTGGAAGAGTACCTACAGCACCCCCTGGAAACGGCAGGTCATTTATATCTCATCTGTCACGCAGATTACATTGCAGTTTGGAAGATTATTCCTAGCCTAGAAAAGAATACTGACTTCAGTTTACCTGCACCACAGATGTTCATAGCTTTTCTAAGGCCCAACTGCATGAAGCCCCTTAGACAAGGGCTTATACCTGCTTTTTGCTTCGTATCTGATTGTCCTGGATTTTTGTTTGTATTGATAGCTATTACTAATACGGAAAGAGACTGGAGAGGTGATGTCATGAGAACTTCTGCTGAGGATTTTTTTCCTAAGATTAGGGCCTCAGCCTGCAATTGTCTAAAATGGATTTTAGCAAATTGGTTTTGAATGGCAGAGTTCTTCCCTTTCAGGGAACTGGCCTGCTGCTTAAGAATTCTAAGTTTAAAGTAGCACTTGCATGAATCTTTATAGCAAAATGCAAACTTTTATTGTTTGTGTGGTATTTGCCTTATTTGGATACATATACTGGTGTTATTTTATGACGGGTATTGTATTTTACATCTTTTAAATAGTATTAAATGTACTTAAAGGGAAAAACAAAAAAATCCGATTCTGCAGAAAATTATAGGCAGTCTCTGTGGATGTAATAGCAGTAATATACTAGACTTTTTAATATAGCTATTTTGGCTCATGTGTATCCTGCTCTTTATTCTTAACACTGTAATCAAGTATAATTACAGGTGTAGACATTTTAATTAAAGGTGAATGAGTTTTAATTAAAGGTGAAAAAAGTAGAATTGGACCAACATTAACAATGTCTCTGTGACCTAAGCTGAAAAGTGTCATAGTATATACCTAAGAAAATACTTATTTTAACAAAATTTTCCTATTGAATCTATAAAGCGCCTGTCTGCAAAAAACTGTGTTTTAAGGTACAAAGGACTCTAGTATTGCTGCACTTGCGAGACAGTGGAACATCTGTTTGCCACTGAGATTTGCAAGTTTTATCTAGTGCATACCAATTACCAGCTTCTCTGCTAAGGTTACTTACAGATTGTGAAGTTACTACAAATGTAAGTACTATTGGCATTCTCACTGTTGTGGCACATGGTTGCAGATTTCATACACTGTTCTGTAAAATGTTACTTCTTTCTTGTGTTTAGAGCAGTATCGATGCTGGTGGAGAAGTTGTGAATTTGGGGCGAAAGATCCCAGAGAGCTGATAACGCATGTCAATTTTCACAGTTACCACACCAAACTGAAGTTCATAGGCTCTCAGTTACGGGCATTGCACCACGATTTGCCAGCCTGTTTGCAGAACAGCCGTAGCTGGCATCAGTTACCAAAGACTTCAGAGGAGTTTGTTTGCCATTGGGAGAATTGTGATGTAAGTGAAATACGTTGAGATATTGCTGGTTTTTTCTCTTTCCTAATTTTACCTCAGCATTCTTTGGATTTGACTCACTATTGGGAATTTTTGCTCAATCTTACCTCTGAACAGTGTTTCCCACTATCTTTGTAAGTAATACATGATCATTATTATGGTAGCATTCACAAAAATATAAACAACATACTTGCATAGCATCTGCGACCTCGAGTTGAAATTTTGTTTCTTTTTGTGGTGACTAAAATGATCTTTTTGACAAAGATGCAACTTCTCCTGTGTTTTAAGAGCATGTATGCAAAACTTCAATATACCCCCTTTAATGATAAATTAATGAACTTGGTAGTTTGTAGGCAGGTCCAGAGTGTTTATTGTTTGTCTGAAGAAAGGCAACAGAATATCTGATGTTTCCTTGGTCAGTTGGAAATGTTTTTAGGTTTTTTTTTTACTGGGACAGAAATCAGACATTTGCAACAGGCTGTTCATATAAGTCTGATGTCCAAATGTGGCCAAGATTGGTTTCAGCTAAAAATGGTTTGTATCTTGACCACTTTTTGGTGTCTTGTATTAAATAGAATCTTCATCCATTCAGTTTCGACTGTGCTATTTCTGCATCAAGTAAACCAGGATGATTAGCAGTTGATCAGCAGATTTTTTTGACAATGTTAACATAAATAGTGCTGCCTACGTAAATTTTTTTCTGCTTTGTGGAGGCATTCATTCCTGATCAGAAGTGGCTTCATATTGATATGACATAATAGGGAAGCACTTTCTCTGTCACTGTTGGCCTCAGAACCTCAGCTGTTATTTATGGCTAGCGAGCATTACCTTTGCATCCACAAGTGTGATGCCTTGCAGGTGACATTTTCTTACCGTCTCCTTTTGTGTAACTGTTGAGCAAGATGTTTTTTAGAGCAAGTAGTAGTGTAGGAAAATTGTCTCTCTGGTCTACATTAATTTTTGCATGTTGTAGTTTTTTATTTCATTTGAGTTAAATGATATAACTGAAAACAAAATATTGGCGAAGAAGAGACAACTGATGCGTTGTACTGTAGAAATCAGAAAAACTGTAAAGCTAAACAATTTTGCAAACCTCATATCGGCAAGTTTAGTAATGTTGAACTACAAATCAAACAAAAACTTTAATGTTTTTCAAAGGCCTTTGATCCTTTTTTCCTTACGTCTCTCTAGGCCTTTCAGTGATTCAGGGGTTATCATCCTTAAATCCTAGTTCTCTATTATCTATGACTTTTTCATATCAAAGTTGTGATAAAATTAATTTATGACATAAACTATGCTTTTTGAGGTTACAAGCAAACACTAATGAGGATGAAAATATTTCTATGCAAGGGAATATCAGACTGGTGGTGCTTTACATAGGTCTTTTATCTCTCACGTGCATCACATTGTTGAATTAGAATCAATGTGATGTTTGAGTAAATACACTGCACTGATGGAGTGAAATTACTTTTTTTGTTTTCTGATGGTGGTTATAGCCCATGCTTTGCTTTGCTAACCTTTTCCTTACTATGTCTAAAGTTATTTCCAGTTTCCTCTTAACATTTCAGCTTACAGATTGTTTGTGCCATATCATATATAAAAGGTGAGTACCTCCTCATCGGTATGTTATTACTGGACAGAATGTCTAAAAATACCCATTTGGTTCTTTGGCTCAGAATTTAGAATATCTATACTCATATAATGCTTTGATACCTCTCTTTTCATTAATTTTTCTTTATATGAAATAAGGAATGACATAAAAATCTGAAAGTGACGTTTATAGAAAGAGGTAATTCTGCTGTTGAGTCAATCTGTGAGAAACTATATCTCTGTAAATAAATGCTTTTACAGAGTGGATTAAGCATGGAAGTACCCCATTCTCTTCTTTTAAAGCTATAAGCCTAAACATAATACAGAGCATTATTTATGATAACTTTTGGATTTTTTGCATAGTTTGATTACAAACTATTGTTACAAACAAATCTTATTGCCATTATGTCTCATAGCTTATAGGAATCCTATTTCTTACAGTAGTTATTTTTGTTATTAACGCTTTTTAATACATACCAGGCAGTCTTTACTTGCATACTGCTATGATTGGTCTATTTATTTTAAAAATGAAGAGGTTCAGAAAAACTTCAAAGCCCTTAGAATTTGATTTTACTGCATCTGTCAGTAAGCAGAGTCTTTTGAAAAACATGCTTAAAAACCAGAAGCAAAATCTTCCCGTTAATTGATTTCATGTTCCATTTTTCATTTATGTAAATGAGCAGTTTTGGCTGATGGAATCCTTTAGTCCATAGCATTTTGCTAAATCTTTTTATACATGTTTTTTCAAGTTCAAACTATGTTGTGAATTTTATTAATTAAAAGAATGTTTCCCAACTTAGTAGGCAGGCTAGACTAGACCCAGGAGGTGGGGTAGGGCACACTGCGAAAGAGGAGAACTTTGAGGGCAGGGAAAACTGCTTACCTTTCCCACCCTCCTGCAAATATGTTCCCACAGTTATGAATATAATTCTCTTTGAAAATCACCTATACAGCTTCCCCCGATTCTTGTGGTGCCTCCTACTGTGTCAGATTCAGTTTCCCCAAAGGTAAAGCTTCTGACTCAGGTAACAGCCCCAAAAACTTCTCTCCTCTCCTATCCTATTTACATAGAAAGAAATATTCAAGAAAGTTCCGGCAAAACACTTAAAGAGATGGTGCCAACAAATTAAAATGGGTTTAACACCCATATGGTTATTCTGATTAAGAAGTGAAGAGGCTTTTGGTCTAGCTCAATACTTTCAGTTGATTCACCCTAATATGCCTATATGTTTTCATATACACAAGACCTTGGATTTCTCAGATCATGTTTCAAGCCCTTCAGAGGAAATAAGGGCTTGTCTCCCTGAGGGAGCTATTGTGAAATACATTGGAGTATGAATTTAAAATGCAGCAGTTTGCCTGCATTAACTCCTCGTGTGAATGCTCTGTTCTGCGCACAGAATGCTTAGCAGCTTAGTTTAATCCACTCTACTAAGATCAGAATGATTAAAAACAGATAATGCTAAATAAATAGTTTTTTTCATTTATATATTTTTCTTCAAAAAACCCCAAAACAAAACACAATGCTGTTTAAATTTGAATCAACTGTACATTATTGGCAGTAGCAATATCAGCCTAAGGAATTTCACCTCTTTCCCATTTCTTCTCCCCAGTGTTTTGGTTTGGTTGAAAGCCACATCAATTTCTTGTCCCAATTCAATGTGTAGCCTTACAAAATTGTGCCAGCACAGCAGAGAGGTTAAGGGGTTAAATTATTAGGAACTGAGAGGAATACTTTGTATTGCGACTGATGGCAGTATGCAGTTGAATGACACCCTGTGTTACTTGAAGAAAATGCAATATGCAGTCTACTTTCACTCTGCAGGTTTGGATTTTTGTGGAATGAGGCAGAGGCTAATTAAGGTTTAGTCCCCCTTGTCACATAAGTACTGACTCACGGAATGCTGTCCATAACACCTAATTCAGTTTAATCATTGTGCAGCCTTCCCATTTCTGTTGGAATTACCTGCACTGCCCTCATAGCCTTCTCGTGAGTAGGAGCAGGTAGAAGTGAAGGGAGGGGAGAAGGTAAAAATACACCAAAGAAATAAATCAACAGAAATACATTAACAGACACATCCCTGCCCCAAAGAATGGGTAGCATTCACTCAATTAGTCTAGACAGACTTTTCAGCTACTAGATGGTAGGTGAAAATTCAGGACCTGGTTTGTGTGGTGGATACTGCAGAATGTTCTACATTTTTGTAGTTGATGTAATTGTTTCTGTGTTGGGGTAAGTTAATTAAATGTTACTGCAATATTTACTGGTGTTTGTTTGGTTTCTAAAAACACTTAATTCTATGTTCCTGTCAATTGATTTCTTGCCAAAACTATCTTGTCTTCTCCATGCTTCTATTTTGTTTTTAGGTTACCTTCAATAACCCAGTGTGGTTTTATCAACATGTTGCTATTCATGCTTATGCTACTGAGGAAGAAACTGTTACAGATCAGAACAAAGCTGTTTATTGTCACTGGAAAGGTAGTTCATATAAAAAAATTCTATTTCAAAAAGTATTTCACTGCAGTGTTTCTTATAAAATTCACTTGGTGCTACATACTGCATAGGAACTTGTGAGAAATCTTCAGATATTTTTTCATCTATCTTAAATAGTTGCAGAAACATTTCTATTTTGTAGGCACCATGATTTAAGTAGAATAGTTCCTATTATCCATGGGGTTGAACGCCCTCAACTCCCAATTAGTCTAAGTTGAGAATTGCCAGTACTGAACAGGGTTTGGTTTCCTCATAATTCTGCCTGTGGTTGATAGTTCATATACCATTCAAACAGACTTTTCACTTATATTCTACCACTCAGGATCAGGGTTGTCTTGCTCACAATAATCTTTCATGGTAAGCTTACTCTTTGCTTTCCCTCATCTGTTCCCTTCAAATCAAGGGAAGCACACCTATTGCCATCCTAGTTTTTCTCAACTCTGTGGTGAGAAAGAGCATTTTTAATGCATTCTCTATATTGCTAGCTACCTCTTGTGTTAAAATTATTGTCATGGCTTCAAAGCTGATGTTCTGCCCTTGGCTCTATTGTAGAAGCCACATTCCATTGACAGTCTTTCATAGCAGATGCCTTGATTGTTTGAGTAAGGGCTAAACTATGGACTGCCATTTGATGTGCATGCCATTCAGCTTCAGACCTACAAAGTGTATGAGCAGAACCTCTCCAGAAGAAAAGACTTTCTGCTGAAGAATAATGCAACAATTTGTAGGACTCTGGTCCTGGAACAGATAATTCTGTGCTTGCTTTGAACCAATCAATTGGGCTGTGTTTTGTAAAATGCATCAACAAAGTCCATTTTTGATTGGAATCCTCCTGGTGACACCCCACCCCCACCCCCCCAATATGTGTCTTCTCAATTTATGGGTTAAATGGGTTTTTGGGTTAGCTATTCACTGCAATGATGGCAAAATCCTGTCAGTGAATGCAAGGCGACATCATTTTGTTCCTTTTCCCTCTTGAGATTAGCTGACAGATGCACTATTTTTTGGCTGGGGAACTCACTGATAGTGTAGAATCCGTAGTCCTTAGAGGAACAAAAAAAACCTACACATCAGTGTGATCATAGCTTTAGAAAACGGAGCCCATTAAGACAGGTGAAGGGACGAGACTGACTGTATAGCCTAAATAACAGAATGGGGAAAAGGGAAATACGGAAGAAAAGGAATATGATATGTCTTCAAATATGTTTAAGAAATGCCCTGCTGTTAGGAACAGTGAAATCATCTGTTCTCCATGTCTGTGCTAGAAAGGATGAGAAGTAATGAGCTTCAGTTGTTACAAGAGAGGGGCAAGTTATAAGTTAGGAAAGCCATTTTATTAGGGTATTTTAAAATACTGTAGCAGTTGCCTGTTGAAATTATGGAGGTTGTCTATCACTGGGGAACTGAGAAGACCTCTTTTGAGACGAAGGTATAATTGATCCTGCCTCGGAACAAAAGAATAGGTCCTGGGTTTTACAGGGTCTGTTGTAGTCTGTGATCTTGACATTCAGCGTGGTGCTATACACTTGAAAGTGACATGCAGAATCATAATGTCCAGGCAGTGAAACACAACTTTTCTTTCACACCCCCAAACTTAAGAAGCAAGGACGGGCCAGTAAGGTCTCATCTCTGTGAGGAAGCAGTTGTCATGGAACTGCGACAACAGACAGAAAGTGATCAGTCTTTTCCAGGGACCTTCAGTAGACTAGCTGGCGGTCTGAGTTGGTTTGAATTTGTGAGGGTACAGCAAGAGTGGGCTGCTCTGCAAGGGAAAGCAAACCGGGAGTTAAGGGTGACAGGCAGGCAGGGACCTCACTGACAGGGTGCAGTCTCACAAAACCTGAACAAGAGGAACAGAGCAGGTCTGGTGGTGCTAGCCAGGGTCAGCCACAGCCCAATGATCACCAGCCAAGTCCACTGTGACGAGACAGGTCTGAGACCAAGCCAGGAAGTCCAGATAGCAAGTCAGAGGCAGGGCCAGTGAGGCACAAGGGGTGGGTAACTGCAGCTCCCGAGCCAGAGAGCCCAGGGTGTGTAAGTGGAGGCCCCAGATGGGGCTTCTCACTGCTCTCTCACAATTTAGCTGTTTTCCCAGAAATGTGGTTGAAGCTTGAACAGCTTCTGATCAGGAGGGGCCATAGAAGTATTAGAGCAGACCTCAAACACAGGCAACTAAACTCTTAGATGTGTGGGCTGGAATTGGCTGCAGAGGAGGATTACAGAGAAAGATGGCTACAGGCTAGTCAGGGAAGTCAGAGGCTGTTGGTATACTCGGGGTCCTGGCAGAGTTCATAAAGGAAGGATGTAAGAGGGAGATTAAATCTGATGTCCTGTGTATCACATATTGAATCTGGGGTTAAACAGCAACAGAAATCTTCATGTTGCACTAGCAGAATAATCAGTCCTCCTCAGCTTCTGATCTTGACACGGGAGTTTGTCCTTTTTCTATGGTCCCTCCTGATCAGAAGTATCCTGTACACTCCAGAGGTGAAAGAGACACTGGTGATCCCATTTCCTCATTGTACGCAAGGGGAGGTTTTAGGATTTCCTTTGTCTTTTAATAAGGCATTTAGAGTTCTGTCCCTTTACTAGGTATGTTAATCTGGAGGTCAGAACTCCTTTCCAGGAAGTCACCTATATTCTACCTGTTGGAGTGGATGTGGGTTGCTATCAAGGCTATAACATTCTTGTTCTACTTGAGAAAATGTCCCAATGGATAGTAGAAATGGAACTCACGATGCACCTACTTGGTTAAATGAACTATGCAAATCCTTTTTGTTAAATGAATTTTATGTATTAATTTCTGAGACCTAAAGGTATTCAACCTGTCATTGAGTTTGATTCACTTGATTACTCTTATCGTGCGTCATCCATTTTCCCTACCTTTTGCTCTTGAATTTGAATTTAGTCCTCCGGTTTCTTAAGAGTCTTTGATTGGGTCCAGGCTATTATTTCACCTTTCTAAAAAGGTAGCGTTCTGCATAGCTATTATCTTTGTTAGGTAGATGAGAGGGACTCGTGGCTGCTTCTCCTTATGTGATAGGGTAGACTATTCCTTCACATCTGTCTGAAGTTTTCTCCTGAAAGTAGTTCTTTAGCTCCATTTACACCAATACATTAACCTACTAGGGATTTCCCCCTTATTTGTCACATGTCAATAGCCAGAGCTTTCTAGTTGTGCTGTTAAAACTTGCACTGTGTCCACAGTACCAGATTGTTCCTGAGCTCAAGAGATCTGAGGACATAGCTATTTATATGCAAAGATTGTTTGGTGGATAGCTGATGGCTTGCGGTTAACCACTATGTGAACGTGTATATAAAGATAGAAAATGTGAAGATAAAAAAAAAAGAGGTCAGTAAGCAGAGTTCTTGGAGATGTTGACATGCATTCACTACCCCATCTTGTTCTCCTGGTTCTCCAGAGACCGTGAAGATTGCTGGATTTCTGTGATGGGGGGAAGATTGCTGGAGTTCTGTGATGGGGTGGGGGGGCAGGCAACAGAAATAGTAATGAGTGTTATCTCTTTTCTATTGTATGAGCATACACGTGGAGTCAAAAACTTTGACACATGAGAGTGGAAAGTATAGCAGCATGCTCTCTGCTGATTCAAAACTGAAATCTTTGTGAGACACATAGCCAACATGTCTTGAAGAATTCTGATTACTGACAAGTAATATGGCTTTGGCATGGATATTTGCGGGGTTAAATGTCACATGATGTTTGTAATAGTACCAATCTGTGGGTTTTTTTTTTCCCCCTAGAAGCAGCTTTTTTGTGTGTTTCTGAAAATATAACACTAAGACATAAGTATGTAATACCCTTTTCTGTTTCTACATAAGAAAGAGTACAGTATTCATGCAGCTTTTTTTCTGTTTGTTTGGTTTAGATTGTTTAGGCGTATTTAAAGGAAAGCATAAGCTCTGGGATCATTTAAGAACCCACACACAAGAAAGAGTTGTAGCATGTCCTACGTGTGGAGGAATGTTCTCCAATAACACTAAGTTTTTTGATCATGCTAAGAGACAAGTTTCAGAAGAGAGTAAGTGGATATGCTTTTATTTCTGTTTATATTTCTAAGAGATTTTCATTTAAGGTGTTTTGTGATAATGTCCACGTGTAATTTCATAAATATTTCTATTTTTCATGTAAGTCAGTTGCAGGAAAGCAGGGTTTACTCCAGGAAGGCAGTTGTTTTCATAAAGCATAGAAGTTCTCTTGACTTTGCATGTCTGATGAATTAGGATAATGAAAGTGAGCAACAGAACACCCTTAGATCCGTGTTTCAGCAGAAAAGCTATTCACTTGGCAGCTGTGGCATCGCACTGCCTCTCTTCCCTTGGTGCCAATGGCACAGCGTGACATTCCACTGACACTGGGAAACTGCCCGTGAATGGGAGAGACTTTTGATTATTGAAAAGAAAACCTCCACAAGAGCCAGGCTTGGATTACAAAATCTCTGCAAGTAATCGCAATGAGCATTTAACTACTTTCAGGTCGAAAGGCAATTTTTTTTTCTTCAGCTTTGCTTTTCCAGTAAGTATCTTCTTCACCAGAACACTCCCTACCTCAACCAACTGTGTATTAGTTGGCATGCTTTCTGCATGCTAAAGAGGAAGGGAGAGGTAGTTGGGTTTTTTGTTTTTAATGCTTGGAATATATTTAGGAATTGTGGATGTTTTGGTGATGGAAAGTAGGTACATTCTAGGTAATTGACAGAAGAGCTCAAATTTCAAACTGTTAGTGTTTTGAACAGATTGTTATTCTGTTTAGGATAAAATTAACTTCCTGATAAACAGTCCTTTTCATTAAGCCTTTAAGTTTTTCAGTAAGTTTTCTTCTGAAGAGTATTTGTAATGAAAAAGAATATTGAAACTGTCTCAATGCTGTGTTAGTTTATTCATGAAACCGGTAGCTATAGGTTATTAATTAATAAATCTTTCATAAGTTATTTGTATTGCTACTAAATAGTTTCTATTTAAATTCAGAACAAATATTTGTTTGCCAGAACTGTCAGAAACATTTTGCCAATGAAAGGCTGCTACGAGATCACATGAGGGGACATGGTTAAGTCAGAGCTTTTTAAAATAAAACGTACTTTTCTTAAGGTCACCTTGTACAGAACAGGTTTGATAAACTACAGAGTTATTGTAAGTATCATTATACCAGCTAAGAAAATTAATATACGGAACTAGGGCAACTGTGTTACAAATGCTGGAAAGTAGGAATTTCATTGCCAGTCCCTCTAAAACATGGCAATTCCCTTCTTCGTGCCTTCTGATCAAAAAGTTTAAGGGGCTTTTCTGTTTTGCAGTAGCTCCCGTGCAGATGCTTATTCTTCACTTGCATCTCTGTTTACTTGCTTTCATGACTAGGGGCACGGTTAAAGCCAAAGCTATGTTTTAGCTTGGGCTGCAACTCTGCTCACCTTGCAGTGCATAATCAGCCTCACTCAAATGGTGTAGTCCTTCATTGACCTAACCACAATCTCCCTGAGGTCCCCAAATTATTCCCACAAGTTATACTACAACAGCTATGACTTGCTGGGAAAGAATCCTACAGCATCTAAGCACAAGGAAACATGTGATATTGCTGTTGGACATACAGGAAATGCAGAAGCAGAGAGGCGGGTGGGTCTTTGCTTTGGGAATGGGAATATTTGAACTGTGTAGCCAGACCTGGGCACCAGTCATTTAGGTTGTATAAACATACAAGTAGCTTTGTGCAGACTTGCTCAGTCAGGGCACATTCTACTTTCCAGCTGCATTCTTAAGGAAACATGATTTTTCATGGTCTGTAAGTCAACGCATTGATGCTTAACAACTATGCATTTTATTTGGTGCTTACTGTGAGCTACCAGGACTGACCATGTTCGTATTTAAATGGTTTTGTAATTGGCACGCATCTGACTAAAATATCTTAATTTTTATATGTTATATTAGAAAGTAGAGAATTATTTTTGATTTGTTTACTAGACTAGTTTTATTCCTTTGTCTCAAGGTGATTTTGGATAGAAATTGGAAATACAAATTAAGATTTTTTGGGGCATTTGTTTTTATTAGCTAATGAAGCAGTTCAAATATGCTGTTTTTTAAAAATTAAAGCATAGCACACATGAAGATAGATTTGATATATTAAATAAAGCACATGGCTACCTGAACTATTTGTTTCTAGTCACTCTGGCTGCCCTTAAACCTTTGTGAATTGTACAATGTGCCTGGCTGTCCTTGTCCCCTGATAATTCAGACTGTGTTCTGCTTGCATAGCCAGGGAAAATCACAAGGTGGCTGGACCTAGGAACAAGGATGATATGAACCTGTGTCATGTCCCAGTAAGCTACAGCAAACCAGCTGTGATACAAACTTGGCTGAGGGAGCTGGGAGGCATTCGTGGGTCCAACTGTTTAGGCACAATGTAAATGCCTTTGGATATTAGAGCCAGTTACTTCCCCGGTTCATGATTCAGCTTTCTTTAAAAATTCTGGCAGCATACATGTCTGCATGTTAGTGCAGACTGCCAGTGCAGACATGACATTTTCAGATTCTTACTCCAGTGTATTTCATAATAACTTGCTGGTATAGATAAATATGGAAATTTTCTTTTAAAGAGCTTGCCTACCTATAAGATATTATTCTGAAATAAGCTGTGATGTGAATGCAAATGCTGTAGGTATTCTGGAATCACTCCTTACATGGACATGTTTACATGCCAGACAACTAAGTAAACTCGTGGATACTCCCATTTCAAGAGACTGCTGAACTTCACTGATGCAGTTCTGCAGATTAAGTTATTCCAGACTAGTTTTCCACATGAAGCTATTTATTTTTGGGGGGGGGGGAGGAATTTTCCTCGTTTAAGACAAACTGTGAGGAAAAGTGCCTATGCAGGGAGTGATTCCAGAATAGTTGCAGTGCATTATATTTACTTCCTTTTTTGAGAAAACATGAGCACTTCAACTGCATGTTTTTCTTTGGCCACCTGTAAAGCACTGGGCTGATTATAAGATAATGCGTTGTTTCAAAGTCCTAAATATAACAGATTTTGTCTAAATCCAAAACTTCTTTACTGAGACTCTTCCTACTGCATTCATCAAGTTGGTGATTCATTTGCAGCAAAGCAAGCATTTGTTCAGCTTAAGATGTTACAGTCCTGCCTGCCAATCTGCCAGAGGTTCTCCCCAGTTCCAGAGTCAGCAGAGAAAACCTGTGTCTCAGCCATTGCAGTTTGTAGTCTGCCAGCTTAGCAAGCACCTAGCATTATTATGCCTTAAGCAAATATATCCGAATGTGAAATGGGGAGGCGGAGGACAGACATATTCTTTTTGCCACTTTTTTAAGAGTGGTAATACCTTAAACACTAGAAGTAGATTTGCCAGTGCTTGTCTGTCAGAAGGTCGCTAGACAACATTCACCTTTTAGAAATCCTCCCAAAGTGCCAAGGGCAAGACGATAATCATCCTTTTTGTCAGAGCTTAGAGAGTAAAACATGATTCTCTACATCTTTTTCCCTTACTATCTATTTTTTGAAAGTAACTTGAAACATTGTAAGATTGAGTATTATTTCACTACTCTCTTTATTGTATCTGCATTCCATTTTTATCCCTTTTTTTCTCTGTATATTTTATTCCCAAATGTATTATAATCTGTTAATATGATATTTTAATACATTTTTTGTCATATGTCATAGCAGACAGTGTCCTGGTGAATGTGATACAGAACTGAAAGTATCTTTCTACTATCTTTTCTAGTTAATCATGTTACATGTGCCCTCTGTGATACAGTATGCACAAGTGTCTCCTCACTGAAAGCACACATCAGATTCCGACACTGTGATGACCGTCCTTTCCATTGTCACCTCTGTGACAACGGGTAAGAAAATTTGAGGCTCGTAGCTACGTGAGCAGAACTGTAGAACCAAGTTAGTGTTTTACACTGGAGTTAGTAAAGAAAGAAAAGTTTTCAACCACAAAAATAATCAACTGTTCAATGAAGAAATTGAACAGATTCATCTGCTGTTCATCTGCTTTCAGCTGCTGAGACATTGTAGCTCATGAACTTATGGTGCAAGTAGGACTGATGTGTTAAAAGGTGAATTTTCTTGGCAAGACTGTGTACTACAAAATGGTCATCATGACACATTGAGATGTGTAGCAGTAGTGCCTTAAACTGTGGGTTTTGCCATTCTAAACGATTGCTGGCTGTTTGCTGGGAGAGTCACAGTCTTCTCCTTTGAGTGATTTTTTTTCTGCCACAGGCTTACTATACCTTCTGCTGTCTTGCACACTCATTTTTCTGTGGTGGTTTCTTTTCTGCTTTCACCATAGGACACCAACCAGCAGTGAAATAAAAAAAAACAAACAAAAAAAAGGGGGGCATTGTGATGTGATAGACCAAATTGCATATACAAGCATTGGCAAATTATGTTTAACTTCGCCAGAGAAGATGAGAAGTCTAGCCTTTGTATGCTGGAAGTGGGATAAAGTGAACAAGTATTTAAGTACTTTTGTGTTCACACGGTGGGTGGACAGAAGGAAATAATCTGAATTTCTAGACCAGAGAGGAGGAAGTGACTGACCAACAACGGACAAGAATTTTCTCTATGTGAACAAAAAGAGAGGGTGATGCCTTGCAACACGGTTGTGGAAAAATTACCTAGATTTGGGCATGGTATGGATGTGTGGGAAGAAAGAGGGAGTGGAAAATGAAATCCAGAGCACATCAAAGAGATGTCTGTACTATCCCCTTTTCACAGGTGGAAAAACTGAGGTAGAGAAGCGATTTACACATATTCCGCTTTCACTTGTCATTGTCAGAGCCAAAAATTACTACCTCCCAGTCCTAAACATTAACCACAAGACTACTCCTCTGTACTATTATATCTGTTATTTGTTTTACCTTGTTTTCAGTTTTAAGAACGCGTATGATCTGCATAAACATGTTGAAACACACAATGATTCAGATGCCTACAGCTGTGATGTTGAAGGATGTGGTTTTACTTCACGGACTTTACGAACTTTGACACAGCATTACAAGAGAGCGCATGTGGTGAGCATATGAAGTAGCAGAATAAAATATATTGCTATAAGTGAGACTAATATTTCAAATTTACGTGCGTTTAGTTTCTTGTGAATTAATGAAATGTTTCATTTTTTATTCAAATCAAGTATTCATTTGCACACGTTTCTAGGACTCTTGCAAGTATTATGCAAATATCTGACTCATCCTTACCTATAGATTTTGTGTGCTTACCTTAGGTGCATTCAGTTGCATACTGACAATCTTGAACTCTGGCCAAGCCCCCCCCCCTCCCCCCCCCCCCCCCTTCTTTTTTTTTTTTAGCACATGACTTCTTTAAGGTCCCTGTGTTGAAAAAAAAAAAGGGAAAAGAAAAGAACATGCCAATCCTAATCTCAACAGCAAAATATTTCAGGGATTAAAATCCAATGTCAACTTTCTCCTCATGTTGGTAGTCCATCCTTAGAACTAATATGTTACCTGAAAATAGAGAAACTATAAAGTGTGTAAAGCTTACATCACTTTTAATCAGGTGAGTCTGGCCACAACATTAAAATACAGTTTTGGCTGCTACAGTTTATGCACGCTTGTTGCCAGTTTCTTCAAATTTCTGAGTTAGGATCACTGCTATGTTGTAAAATGAATACATTTTAGTCGAAGCTATGTGTCACACCACTATTGGAGATATCTGCAGTACTGATGGCCAATGCAGAGAATTTCCATGTTCACTGGGGTTCCTTAATTAGACAAGTTCTAAAAACCACAAGTTTTAAACATTTTAGGAAATTAACTTCAGAAAGGTTTTCAGCTAGTTAGGGTGGTTTTCCCCTTTTCAACAAGGGATTATTTTTTTGTCATATATATGTGCAAACCTTCAATGACTCTAACAGTCTTTCTTTCCAAGAGTAATGGCATTCTGAAATACAAATGCCACATCTGTCAGAAATGTTTCTCCTGGAGTTATACGTTGACCCTACACCTTCGAAAAGCTCATGAACTCTGCAGTCATTCTCGTTTCAGGTATGTTACCAGTTGATTCTTGTACACATCATAAAGTGGTTGTTTTTTTTTTTTTAATGTTTTGTTTAAAAGATCCAGGTATTTAAATGGTATCTTAAGTTTGATTCAGTTTTAAACATGCTGAGCGTGAAACAATTTACTGCTTAGGTTTCACTATCATGATGGAAAACCTAGTGTAAAGATGGTTAAACCAAGAAAAAAAAAGGTCTTTTTGCTTTTATAGCTTTTACCAGTGTGAAAATCTTGTAACCTAGATTGTTGAAAGTAATTTTTTGAGCCTGCAAGTTGTATCCACCAAAGAGAGTACATAAATATATCAACAACTTCTGAAGTATAAAAAAGCCATACTCTCCATTTTGGGACAAGAAAATCCAGCAAATAAAATATAATTATGAATAGGTATCTCTTATTTTCTGTTACATGATGTATATTTGATAAAAACTACTTACTGGAACCCTCTTGCAGGTGTTCCTTCACATAGAACATCTTTTGTTTGGGTGCCACCTAATAAATAGCAATCTAATTCGTCTTTTAATTGCTGACATTCTCAGTTTTGGCAATTTAATGAGATGTTATTCTTATTTTCTGCTGTAAATGCTATGTTTGTAACTTTTCAGTGTTTTCAATTTTATTCCCTTAGATATAAAGAAGATGATGAGGGTCACATGAGTTTGAATTTAGCAGTATATAATGCTGTCATGGGTTTAGGTCAGGCTCCTAATAACAAGACAATAACAAACAAGTCTTCAAGTCAAAATAGTTTTGGAAGAGAAGGAGGGGACTCTGGCGAAAGAGACACTTCAACAGCAGAAGTACTTTTCACACCGCTTCAGCCGTGGTCACGAGCTACTGGAGAAAATGTTGTGGTAGAAACAGAGACTTCTATGCCACAGCCTGTGTATTCTGAACTTCAAACTGCTGTACAGCCGTTCGAAAACAGTTGTACTTCAGCTAAAGTTGATGAAGCAACACCGATGAACGTGAAGGAAAAACTAGTAGAAATGGAACTGGGCTTGGGAGATAGCTTTCTAGAAAAACTGTGAAAAGTATACTCTTCAGAAGAGGTTTATTTTTTTAAACAAAGTACGTTTTAAAGTCTTCACTTTTATCCTTGTCAAATCTTGTATATAATACTGTGTTTTCTCAGCTTTCATGTTAAATTATTCTAATGTGCTTAGAGAATACATGCAAGATACACACAATATTATGCACATATAATGCTTTCATTTATAGCCTTTTGGAGAAGAAACTTCTAAGTTCTGTATATTCACGTAGGATATATATGTGTGCGTGTGTATTTATTTATTTATTAAAAAAATATAGCCTGTGGGGAAAGTGTTGAGCCAATGCATGGGACAAACAGTTTGAACTGGTAGGTAAAACATCCCATTTTTTATTAGCCCGCTATGTTGTTTATTAGAAATCAGATAACAGCTTGTGAGATGTGTATAAAAAATTTACAATTTTGGCAGGTTTCTTAGCTTTACTTAGTGACTTTAAAATTATTTCAAGAATTATTAGAGAGACTTTATTATTATAATGGACTTTTAAACTACAATGTATGGTTAAATGAATACGTTTAAATAAAAAAGGTTATGTCTAAATAAAGCAGTTAAAGATGTTCATAGAGCTGACTTCAGGATTTATGTAACATTTGGTATAACGGAAATTTTATAGTTATTTGTTGGATGCTGCAGGTACAATGACGAGAAAGTAAATGAATGATATTGGCAGCATAGCTAAATGTGCCTAACTCTATTTTCATAAATAATTCCACACAGCTATTATTCTGACCTGTTAGGAAAAGTGCTTGGCAAAGACATTTATTTGATTCTTGTATAAAGGGCATAGAGAAAAAGACAGGTATCTTTCATCACAGTAAAAATGAATTACAGAGTTTGAAACATTTTTTAAAACAAGAACTGAATGAGCCCTCCAACTAAAGTACGTACGACTTACACACAGGAGAAGTCAGCTAGAAGACTAACTTGCCCTGTATCAGCTACTAGAAGCCCGCGCCCCTGGAGGACCCCGGGGTGTTCTCTGAGAGGGGCTTGCTGTGCCAGTCTGAAAGCAACTTTCAGCGCCTACGCAGAGCAGCGTTGCATCACCGCCGCTCACTGAACGTCCACTCCTTTATGTAGACAAACTGATACTGAGCCCAGGACAAGGAGTCAACCCGCACTCGGGTGAGTCCCCAGTTAACCGGAATGGAGTATCAGACAGTCTGGGAATGGTTTGAACAAAAATAGGCCGTCTGGAGTGGGCTTGCCCTGTAACCCCAAGGATTCTGGGGCACTTCTCTGTGCACCTTCTGTAGAAAACTGTCTCCCCTGAACTGGCCCCTCATCATCTGACTGCTCTTGCATGGGAGGACTATGAGGCCATGCTAGGCCTGCGTGCGGGGCTAGGGGCAGGAAGGACGCGTTCCCTCTCATCCCCACGGCTGGAAGAGCACAGTGCTCTGCCCAGGGCCCTCACGAAGGCCGGTAGGAGCAGTTGAGGCAGTGGTATCGGCGTAGGATCTGTTACACTCTTACATGAACCGTTCCTTCTGCGTCCTACATTTGCTGTCACGAAGAGCGTGGGGAGAGTGAGCCAGCTGAAGGGGCTGTGCCATTTTGCTACAGTTGCATTCTGAATGGGAGTGGGGCTTGCTGGAGGGAGCCCTAAGTAACGCCTCTGACTGCGCACCTGTGCTCAGACAGCAGTGATCACTGCTGCTTCAGCCTAACAACCTAGACCAGGTTGTCTACAACATTGAGCAATCTCAGCTAGAGAGAGAAAAGGAATTTAAGACCCCTGTCACGAATATAGGCAGATTAAAAGTGACGGCAGTAAAAATCTCCTCTCATAGCTGTCCACCTTGTTACTGCCTTGGAAGTTCCTGCTTTGAAAGTTCCTGCTTTGCAGGCAGCTGAGATCTTTGTGCTCAGGTTTTAGTATTATTAAATATGCTGGGCCGTAATTTGTGGCAATTCAGCTGATGTTTCAAGAGCAGTTGAGCCATCTGTGCAGTGGGGGCAGGCCAGACAGATGTGGGTGGCAGCCTGATTTTAATCTGCCTTTGTGCATGAATCAGAGACCCAGCATTTTTAATACTTTACAATACGGGTAAAACTGACTCACGTTTCTCTGGGCAATGAATAGGTACCACTATAGCCTCTGGGATTTCCCCTGCCAAATATCAAAGGCCTGCAACAAACAACAGAGGTGTTAATGCTTCCCAGAGAAAGAGTCCTTTATAATGGAAAGTATTAGTCAACCAGAATACAGAGAGTCTTTTCCAGATCTTTTACAATAGCTTACCAGAAGCCTCTCATCCAATATCCAACCATTTACTCCTTTGGGCAGATCCCCATGCCTGCCTGACTGGGAGTTCGCTGCCTTCAGTGCAAGCTGCGTTGCAGGTACCAAGGTTAATTTACTTAAAGCCCATTCAGTGCTTCACATGACAGGTTTAAACATGGCATTATAGATTTGTACGTGAGCTGTGGAACCACACTTGCAGGGCAAGAGTATGACCTGCAAGTTCTAATTTGCCACAACTTCGTGTAAGCCTATTAAATACATTTTGGAAGACAAAATCAACTGTGGGGGCAGACACAATGGGATGATAATTTATTAATGGCAACCTATTTTTTAAAATCATATTTTAAAATAATTTCCCTCGTTTATGCTGCTTAATGACAGTCTAGAGTTTTATTCTACTATTGCTTAGGTACCTGTTCCACTTTATTATTATTCACAGTGTTTGCATTCACACAAGGGCCTTGCAAAGCTAAAAAGTTACATCCATTTTCTTGTCAGTCATGTAGTTTAGAATTTACATTCATATATTGGTTTGTATACAGAGGCTTTGTTAACACCTGTGTATTTACTAGGCAATAGTAGTTAGTGACAATGGATTTCAAAGTTGTTTTTTCAAAGAGCTTTTTTAAATTTTATGTTAAGATTTCAGTGTTACATTAGCACTCCAAGATGCTGGTTTGCATGTACAAAGCAAAATAAAATATCCATCTGAATGAAAGCACTTTGGTGAAAAAGGCACTTTTTTCTGATTTTGATACCAATTATAAATTTTTCATGCTAGTTATTTGTACTAAAATAACTGTATGTAATCTATTCAGTTTTGAAAACTAGGTTTTTGTTTAATTTTGCTTAATTTTCAACGTGATTCTGAAGCTGCTTTCTCCCCAGCAAGTGCTGCGGAGTGCTCTCACAGAAGAGCCCACAGAGGGTGCCTGCGGACTGAACGCTCTGAGTCACCCCGCCACCTTGTCCCACGACGTTGTGTGACACGGGGTAAGTGTCGAGCAAGTATCTTCGTTGAACACATACTTTATTCAGCGCCTCCTGGAATAAAGAAGCTCTACGAGAAACAAGACATTATTTGCTGGGATTTGTGGGACCCAGCTTGAAAAACAACTTCTTCCCGTGCACACCAGGTATGAGGTGGACGTGAGTCATTAGGGACTTGTTCTCATGGAGCCAGATCATCAGATAAGGTAAACTGGCGCAGGTCCACTCGAGTCTGTAAAACCAGCATAATGTCTAACTGCGGCTCTGGCACGGGACCTTTGTGGATTTCGGTGAGACCGGACTAGCCCTTGGCTTTGTGGAGGCAGGAGGAGACAGCTTGCCAGGCTGACAAAGAAACCCTTTGATAATGACCTCAGAGATGGTGCCCTGCAGCACAGCTAAAAGCAGGAAAAAATGTACCTAAAAAATTACAGTGTCTGCCAAGAAGCAGAGCAAGATCGAGCTTGGGGAAGTCATGCAGAACACCTTTTTTGTTCTCAGGGGTTTGAGAATGAAAATTTAAAACTAGGCATTCTTTTCCTTAATACCACAGAAACAACCATGTTAGTCATTCACTGCTCACACGAATGTGATTAACCTTTTTTTTAATTTGTATTTTTTTCACTTTGTACAGGCTCTCTACCATCATAAACAAACAGAGCTGATAATGAGATCTATGTAAAATTTGGGTTGTTTAATACTTCTCAATTAAGTTCCTGAAAGCAGGGCTTTTTATTATCCTTACAGAGGAAGAATGTTAGCAAAAATAGTTCAGTAGTTTCTAAGAAAGCAGTTGTGAAAAAGAACAGTATTTGTCTCTTGGAAAAAAATTCTCAAAGGTGGAGATTTTTAACTTGTTTTCTGATTTGTTCAGCTAGTACAGTCACGAGCACCAAAAACACGCCGATGAAGGCCCAAGCATGGTCCCCAGCCTGCCTTTTAATTCATGGCTTACTTTTGTACGTTCAAATCAATTTATAAAGGAGCTGACTGTTGGGGTGCTGACCAGGCAGAGCTGCCATTAACTTAAGCTCTGAACTAGCAAAAATTCCTACACGTGCCTGACTCTGGGCACTAGGAGCAGCCCAGCTGGAGTGTGTAGTTGTCTTCAGTAGGATTACCTACACTATACTTTTTTTAAAAATTTTCTTCTTCAGCGGAAAAATCAGTTTAAAAATTCCCACCCTCTTCCTACCGCTCATTTCCACCTCCACACCACACTTCTCAGTTGTTTGCGAGGGTGTGCTTTAAATGAGATCAGCGAGGAACTCCAGCATCTGTGTAACTATGCCCCTTTCATCACCTTCTTCGGAGGTAGTTTCCTTCCAGCCTATTCGCCTCCCCTTCTGTTGACATTAACGAGCATCTGGTAAGTCAGGCCAGCTTTCTGATCTGCCTGAAAACTAAGCGAGGGAGTGTTTTTAAGTGAGATCATTGAGCTGATTCAGTTACTGTTCAACCAAGTGAACGCCAGTACAACTGTGTGAGTACCAGCACCGACACAAAAGAGGGGACGGGGGGCGGCAGCCTCCTTCAGAGACAACGTAGTTTTAGATCAGCTTAAGCCAACTGCAGTATTGCACCGTTTGTGTATAAACACCTAAGCATAGCTTAAGTGTTTGCAAAGTGGACAAATAGACGGATTTTTGTTTTCTTTTGAAAAGTTGCAAGTTGCAACTTGGTGCTCTTTTTTATCAGCTTCAAAGCCATCACATAGTTGCCATCTGGTATCTGTTCACAG